TTGCTATTTAACTCTGTCCAGTTTACAGTTTCTAATTTCCGTCTCATACCATAGATATCAGAGAAACTGCAATTGTATTTCATACAGAATAGAGGTCTGATATTTGCCCGTCTTCATCCCTTAACATTTTTTAAATTAACATTTGTTGTTGATTGTTTTGAAGTAAGCTACAAGCTCAGGCTTGATTCTGGATACTTTTGCAAAAATTAAAGCCAAGCTGTACATCATACTGCAAATGACTACAGTCAAGAAAGTGTTAAGTCATGACAACCATATCATTTACATATTAACTGTATTTGGGGGACTCACATTTGATAATGCCATCAACACAATGCAGTCAACAACAATGGCGTTATTGGTTCTCTGGCCTTGTTTACACTTGTCCCAAGAATGACAGTAACACCTACAGAGTATTCCAAAAACTGCAGTCATTTTACATAAATACATAACAGATACTAAACAGGGTTTTATTAGGTATGTTTCAGTTTTTATGGGGACAGGGCAGGGATGAGAGAAAAAAAAGCCCAAAATTCTCAGTGAGACAAAAAAACATTTCTGTTGACCAAACCCAGCTACAGGAAATTACTAGGGTTCCAAAGTAACACAGCCCCTCAGCCCTGTGGGTCTCAGACAACATACAGTGGGTGCCACTGTGCTACCCAGAAAGAACAACACTACATACAAATTCCTGACAATCATTACATTCAATTACAGAATCATTTCACAGCTGAAAAAAATATATACTCTTCAATACTATTGTATGTAAACAGCTGGGGATTTGCATTAGTTTCAAGTTTTAGTATTTGGGGAACAAACTGAAATCCCTGTTTTATAGTTGTGGGTGAAAGGATGATTGGGGGAAGACAAAAAAGTGCTGCAATACAAGAGAAACAGTGTGATACTGGAGTATTAGCTTTGAAGCTTAGGTTATGGTTTGCATTCGGTTTGCAACTGTGCTTACGTTTAGCGTTAGGGTTGAGGCTAGGGTTAGGATTATGGTAATGGTTGGTATTAGGGTTAGTGTCAAATCAAGATTGATTGCTTTATGCAAAGCAAATATTGTGACACCAAATCAACAAAATAGTAAGAAAAATATGATGGCAAGATGGACCCTGTTCAAGCAAATGTTCATCTTATACCCAGCAAGGTGTTTCATGTCAGCAAACAAAATGGGCCGTAACAGTCATCAGTAATCTGACAACTGATTATGTGACCGGCTTGGTTACGCAACAGTCTTTGGCAAACTTGAGACCTGAGATCTGAATCCTGTAAGTTGTGTTTAGGATCCTTTGGATTTATCAGTTCTGCTCCGAGGTACCTGTGCATTGCAGAGGGTAAAGGTATGTTACAGGTGGGAATGTTCCTTGACACATCAAAAATATATGAAATTCAATAACAGCCAGTGTGGACTTAAGACCCTTTCATTGTGAATTCCTTAACTCTCATGTCCATTATCCCTCAAGAAGACTTAGGAAGCAATTTACAGTGCTCCAATACAAAAATCTTTCCACAAAATTTTGTGTTCAGCCGCAGCACTTACAGAATAACAGTACTTTCACCCCGACTAAACCCAGGGTGAAAGTGGTTAGATTACAATATAGCTGTAATAAATCAATATACAGTGTATCCTTCTAACTGAACATACTGTACATGAGTCACTTTTTGCTAACACTGCCTCAGGTGCATATTTACCTGCTCCATTGGAATCAGTGGGTGACAACACTTCCATCTCCTGATCACCATGTGATACCTACAGGGTCATTTGATAATTTTCATATTTACAGGTTTCATTAAACAATATAATGACCATGAAATGATATTTACCTTTCAGGTTACATGGCAACTTTTTAAAGTATCCAAATATGATATAAATATGATACTTTTGACATAATTATGTTTAACAGGGGACCATGTACATGGAGAATGTACTGACATATTCCTGTGTGCTGAATCCGTAACTATGTTTAACAACAGGGGGCCGTGTACATGGAGAATGTACTGACATCTTCCTCTATCCTGGAGTTACAATAAGGGCTCTTCCCCTGCCTCTGCAGACTGCATTCTTAAAGGAATGGAGGAAGTGCACAGGGCCACAGATTTGCTAAAGACATATCCACAGTGAAGATAGTCAAAGTGATGTATAGAAATAAGATACCGATCAAACAGGCAGATGCATCTTGAACACCCACCTGATAAGGCTCATTATCCTTCCTGTGTCTCTGAAGACAGGCGAATGATTGTTTTATTCTAAGGAAAAGACACAATCAGTACAACAGAGCACTGGCAGTGGAGAACAATTTCAGAATCTGACTAGTGGTTCCCACAACCCTGAACAGGATGAGAGGTTGGAAGATGGATGGATGGATGCACAGTCATTTGTCATGTGTATTATATTTGTGTCCAGTATTACCTTAAATTTAGGTAATTCCAGCAATTTTAAGAACTAATGTATAACAGAACATCAACTAAGAGCATGGATCCCACTAAAAAAATCATATTACAGAGAAGTTATTGTGTGATGAACCTACTGAAATGTTAATGTTTAAAATATGCTCTCATTCATATCTGACAAAAAGACTGATCACATATATTATGTCTAATACAGATCTTGCTTGTTATTGAGGATTGGATTAAATATATGAAATATTAATGTAATTATGATTAGACAGCTCCATGGCATCCTGAATGTCTGCTAAAAATACCACAGAAGTTAACAAATTAGGAGAGCAGAATTCAGTGGAGGCCATGGACTCAATATTACACTCCAATTTATCTCGTTTTATGCTCTGCTGATACCTTTGGATCTGTATCTACTGTAAAGATGCTCCATGTGTTACACTGATGGGCTGTATGGCAGATAGTCACAGGGTGTCTGTACTGCCGCAGTGAGGTACGTACAGGCAACATGCAGACTTTCCCTGACTGGTCCCCATTGTGTAAACACAGGGCACCTGAGGATCATTTTATGGCTGGTGAACTGACAGTGCTTCTCAGCAGTGGTGCTGGGTGGACATGCCTTGATATTCAGCCAGCTGCACTGCCTTCTGGGTATGAGTGGGAGAAGATGGTACAGTATGTCCACCACTTCAATTTTCAAAAACTGCCTCTTCGTGGCATGGCTCGGTTCTCAGTGGCAGTGGAAAGGCACCATAAGGGGCCCACATTGAGAGTCTGGCCAGTGCTGACAGGCTCTCTAATAGACCAGATGCTGGTCATCCTGGATCGTCTCCCGCCCACTAGCATCCATCTCACCACAGGTAACAAGGCTGAGCACAATCCCCACACTTCAGTGAGCTTCACCTGGACTTCCAGCATCATCCTATTAGTCTACCAGCGATGAAGTGTCTGGTAACAAGGGCCAAGCTAAAGGATCTGGGGGTGTCTGGTCAGAGTCCTCACCCTTAGTTATACAGGGCTGCTGTTAATTGGTTAAATGAATTGTACTTAGAAAAATGTCTACTTACTCTTCTTTTCTGTCCATCCCTATAATAAAAAAAGATACACAGTAATATAATTCACAACAACATTTAATGTAACTGCCAGGAAATAATTAAAAATTATTATATAGTTCCAGCCTTCTCCATCACATACAGAATGAATTAACATGTGTACCTCCCAATGTAAACTGTTCCCTTATTACATCACTAAAACAGCAAGATAAAAGAAGGTTTAAAATGGTGCTTCAACTCAAATAAACGTTGACTGGAGAGTCCACAGCACACTGGAAATGTCCCAATGCGTATAACCCATCTTAGTTTAACACACCTCTGTTATACTTACAGTATTCAATGATCTTGATAAGAAACAAGCTAAAGAGGATGGAAGACGCAGAAAAAAAGACAACAAGCCGTAGGTCCAATATCGACTTTCCTGTGTCTGAAATCATATGATCATAAAAATAACCAACAGAGTAAATGAGCAACAAATAATAAACATAATAAAATCTCAGGAATCCATTTCTAAGGACAAAATATAAAAATGTTAGTTTACCTGCTTTGAGAATTAATACTACAGCCAGGGTAATAGAATTCACCAGGGGGAGACAAACAGTCCCGAACCAATAGAGAATGACGCGGGGTTTGTCTGAAAGATAGGGAGAGAACATAAAAACATGAAATTACTTCAACATTCATACCATCATTATTTTCCACCATATTATACTCCCATAAGTTTAAAATATTAGAATATTTCATATTAATATACAGACAGTAAAGTTTTTTTTTTCATATTTATTATTACATTAGATAGAAACCAAGACAAATATTCACTCAAAAAGTTTGAAAATATTGTTATCACTACCAAGTAAACGTAATCGAAGCCAGTCGTCAAAGAATGATATGATAGTCGATGAATAGATGAATGTATACCGGGCCAACTTCACAAGTCGCTCTGTGGTAAAATAATGATTACAAGAGAAGGTTATTAATGAAGTGAACAACTTCCTGTTCCTCTAACATCAGACACAGTCAATACAGTACCAGCATAGGTAATTAATGGTAAACTGCATTTCAAAATTTGTCTTTTAAATAAAAATTGAAATCTTGCAAATGAAATGAAATGGTCACACAAAGCAAGAGGACATGAGTGGTTAAGGCGGTTGACTGTTTGAAACAATAGCGCACACACACAAAAACTCACGCACCCTGTATCACAGGGCGCACACAAACAGACACTCACACACCCTGTATCACACGGCACATACACGCAGACAGTCACACACCCTGTGTCACATGACACACACACAGACACTCACACACCCTGTATCACAGGGCACATATACAGGGACACTCACACACAGACACTCACACACCCTGTATCACGGAACACACACACAGACACATACCCTGCATCACATGACACACACACAGATACTCACACACCCTGTAAATAATGGCAAAGACACTCACACACCCTGTATCATATGCTACATACACGCACACACACACACATACACACGTACACACACACACACACACACACACAAACTGTATCACAGGGCACACACACACAGACACTCACACACCTTGTATCACAGGGCACATACACACAGATACTCACATAAGAACATAAGAAATTTACAAACAAGAGTAGACCATTCCCCCCATCAAGCACATTTGGGGGGAACTTAACTAATAGCTCAGAGTTGTTAAAATCTTATCTAGCTCTGATTTAAAGGAACCCAGGGTTTTAGCTTGCACTACATTAACAGGAAGACTATTCCAAACTCTAACTACACGCTGTGTAAAGAAGTGCTTTCTCAAATTCATTTTAAAATGTTCTCCTGCTAATTTCCATTTATGGCCACGAGTTCTAGTATTTAGACTAATATTGAAGTAGCCATTTGGCTGAAGCATCCAGACCTGTTAGAATCTTGTATACCTGGATCATGTCTACCTTTACTCTCCTTTGCTCAAGGCTAAACAGATTCACCTCAGCTAATCTTCCCTCTAAGTCATTCCTCTAAAACCAGGAATCATTCTTGGAGTCCTATGTGGCACCCTTTCCAAGACAGCAATGCCCTTTTTAAGGTAAGGTGACCAAACCTGAACACAATATTCTAGGTGGGGTCTTACCAAGGGATTGTATAATCAAGCATCACCTCCCTTGACTTAAACTCCACACAGCTAGAGATGTAACCCAACATCCTATTGGCCTTTTTATTGCTTCCCCACACTGGCGAGAGTGGGACATGGAAGCATCAACATACACAAGTTCTTTCTCATAATCAGCTACCTTTATTTCAGTGGAACCCATGAAATATCTGTACTTCATATTTCTGCTCCCTGCGTGGATTACCTTACATTTATATACATTAAATTTAATCTGCCAGGTATCAGCCCAGTCGTTAATTAAATCAAGATCCCGTTGTAGCCTCTGTGCTGCTAGTTCAGTATCTGCTACACCACCCACCTTGGTGTTGTCTGCCAATTTAACCAGTTTGCTGTATGCGTTAACCGTCTGGAGTCTAGGGGTAGGGAAGACACTTTCACTGACTGGGGCATGGTCAGACATTTCATTCAATATCATAAACTTAATTCATGGCAAATTAATTATGTCTTATATATTTGTTTTGGCATAAAGTGTACTTTGTAAATACAGTGGTACCTCGGTTCTCGAACTTAATCCGTTCCGGACTCTGATTTTAATCCTAAAAAGTTCGAGTTCTGATCGAATTTTTCCCATAAGAAATAATGGAAAACCAATTAATTGGTTCCCGGCCCCCCAAAATTACACCTAAATATGTTTTGTTTTTTTTAGCATTTAAACACAAAATGAACAGGATAAAATAAGAACAGCATTTTTTTTCTTAATGGCTTCCAAAACAATAAAGACAACATTACCCCTGTCCTGCTCCGATTGTCCACTCCTTCGGTGTGCAACGCCCCCTCGTTAACCTCGTATGGGATCCCCATGTGATCAGCTGTTGTCATTAGTCCTCTGTATTAAGTCTGCGTTTCCGTTTGTTTCCCCAGTCCGGTCATTGACGTTACATGTGTCTTGGAGTATGTTATCCCGGTAATAAAGCCCTTTTTGTTCGCATTCATTAGGTCAGCGTTCACGGTTCGACTTCTGATATTCAGATTGAGTTCTAGGTCAAACTGGTTTGTTCGACTTTCAGGAAATTCCAGTTCTAGTGAGTTCGAGGACCAAGGTACCACTGTATATCAGATTTATATGAAGTTTGTAATTTGACATCAAAAATGACAAACTTGCAAAATGCAGTTTGGAATACTTGCAGAAACATTATAAAAGCAATGGTGGAAGTTTGTTTTGATCCCAGATATCTGATCACCAAAGTCTAGGCTACATGAAGGTGACTAAATGGTGTAATTGCAATATTCAGTTGGATAAATAAACAAGAAAAACCTAACTCATGTCACTATTTCTGGCTCCTTTCATTGAATATGTAGCAACTTTCATGTGTATGAATGAGCCATTGACACCTGGCCACATCCCTCCCCCCCTTTTATGGCGCTGAGGTGGATATATCTGGATCGCGTTTCACAGTTGTTTTGTTCATGAAATTACCATGCGAATGCTATTTGAATATGCGCTAATGCGGCTATTTAGAATGTGAATAGCGATCTTCAGGTGACAGCAGTACTACACGCCCCCGATGCAGGTAAAACAAAATAAGGTGACATGGTTTAATTTTTTGCTGATTTAACCTAATTTTGAAAACTTTAATGCTTCTGACAATGGACATTTTGAAAAGAAGACAGATTATGGGTTTAGTCAGCGTTTATTTCATGTTTCTATAATAAGATTTCAGCGAGTTACGAACTGAAATTCACGAGAAAGATACGAGGCATCGCCGACGATGCCGTAGACTCCAGAGGGTTAATGTAAATTAGGAACAATATTGGTCCTAAAATTGAACCCTGCGGTACCCCACTATGAACGCAGGCCCACTGTGACATTGTGCCTCTAACTACTCGCTGCTTCCTGTCTGTTAACCAGTTTTGGATCCAAGCTGCTACAGTTCCTAAGATCCCTGCAGCTTTGATCTTAAGCAAGAGCCGTTTGTGGGGGACAACATCAAAGGCCTTCTGGAAATCTAAGTAGATCACATCGTTGGCCTATTTGTGATCAATTTCTCTTGTAGCTTCCTCAAAGAACTCAAGTAAATTAGTTAAACAGGATCTACCTCTCCTAAATCCATGTTGGCTATCCCTCAGAATGTTATTTGCATCCAGGTAATCTACCATTTTCACTTGGATTATAGCTTCCATTGCTATTCCAGTTATGCAAGTTTAACTGTATTACTTCTATCCCTGAAATAGTAAAGTTAAAGGTTGGCTAATAATATCCCTCATCTCTTCTAAAACTATAGGTAAGATGCCATCAGGGCCCTGCGATTTATTAATTCTGAGCTAAGCTAGGCTTTCTACCACATCAGCCTCAGTTATACATATATTAGTCATAGACGATGCTGTATTTGCACTAAATGGTGGTAAGTTACTAATGTTCTCTACTGTGTGTAAAATAATCAAACTCATTTACTATATCAATTTCATTTTCAATTATAAGGGCCTTACTATCCTGCATAATAGTAATTTCAGCTTTTACACACCTGGCATCACAGGGCACACATACATACACTCACACACCCTGTATCACAGGGCACATTCACACAGATACTCACACACCCTGTATCACAGGACGACACACGCAGACCCACACTATGTTTAGAAGAAGTAAAGAAGATGAGCACATGAGTTCTGCATGTGAGTCAGTTATCTTTGCTAAATTGTGATTAATGCAATTATTGGCTATTTTGAGGTTTTAGAGATAATGTCTAATTTGCCTGCAAGTTCGATACTCCTTGTTTTATTCTGAGATTTCATTTTTGATTATTTTCAGAAAGGAAAATGCCAGTAACCCATTACCTCTTGGGGGACACCAATAACTTAGTTACTACTAAAGAACAAATATTGAACTAACGTAGAAGAACAACCATGCTTGATTAATGATGAACAAACATGGGGTCAGTATGTAACTAACAGTTGTTAATTAATGCAATATGTGAGCATGTATCACTAGATGTTTTGTGTCCCCTCAAATTGTGTTTCCGAAATTCAATTTTGAATAAAGCTACTTTCTAACAAGAATACAGTATTTATAGTGTATGCTACACTACAGTATGATTCAATAAGGCTTGGTACTTAAAATTGTTACAAAACTGTATGTTTATGGCATCAAAGAAACATATTGAATTTTAAAACATTTTTTAAAGTATTGAGAAAAAATAATTGCTGTCATGGTTTCTTATCTCTTACCTTTGTCATCTTCCAGAGTCAAACTCACATACTGGGCACTTATTATTAGGTAAAACGGGAATACTATCACCAATAGGATCCTCTGACTCAGGTCTAAAAAATATTAATAACACAAAGAGCAAAACAGTAGGTAAACATGAAATGAAACAGACTTTCATTTAAAAATCCATTGGTTTACTTTATGGGGTGATACCTAAACAATAGCAGTATGATTCAGTTTCATTTTACCAATCTTTCGAGCTACAACTCACCCTGGTGCCATTATATATTAGGCAAGTGAACAAGTCAGTTCTTGAAGCTTGGAAGCAGGAAAAATGGGCAGTCAAGTAAAACTTCCGTGGACTACAATGTTAGGCAGGTGGTTTTAATGTTATCGCTGATTGGTGTATGTACAGGTCAGGTCAGGTCAGGTTTGAGAGCATGTGCTCATGCAGTGCATTGCCGCACCCACCACACGACGAGACTCCTCGGGATACCAGCTAGTGACCCCCTAGGCAGACACACAGTCCAGTCCCAAACTCCTCAAATGGCCATCCATCTGCTATAGCCAGGTGTTACGTGGGCGCCCCTTCAGCCTGGTCCAGTCGTTTGGATCCTCAGCAATGAGGATCCTGTGAGCCAGATCACCGTCAGGGAAACGCGCCACATGGCTGTAGTGCCATAACTGATACTCACTCACAATGCATATAATGCTTCTCTTGTTGGACCACATTAGTATGGAGCGAATGTCTGCTTCCTCCAAGAATCAATTAGCCAATTTCAACTCTCTCTGGTCCCCAATAATTGACTCCATCACTTAGTGGGTGTGTGGTGTCATGGCTTTGCTGTTCCTTGTGTCCCTTGGATGGTGGGGGGGCTCTGGGGGGTGTGGGTGCCGGTGGCTCCATGGGGCTGGGGGCCTGCGGTTCCTGGGCTGGGGGTTGTGGGTCGCCCCTGGGCTGGCGGGGCGGCCTGGGCGGGGGGCGCCGGCCCTGGCCGGGTGGCTAGGGCCTCGTGAGTGCGGGGTGGGGCGCGGGGCTCCGGGGGGCCCGTTAGTGGGGTGGGGGCCTCGTCCGTGCCGGGGGGGCCGGTCTCCCCCTGGGCGCCCCTTCCCATGTGGGACTGATTGGGGTGTCGCTCTGGGAGCCTCTGGGCATGCTGGCCTCTGGGGGGAGGGCACCGGGGCAGGGTATGGAGGGTATAGGTCCCAGGTCAGTCTGTCTGGTGAGTGTAGGTGTTTGTGTGAGAGCGGCTCGTCAGCGAGGCCTTCGCAGATGAGGCTCCAGATACCCCCCTCGGGTTGGGGCGGGGGTGCTGCGGCGGGGGGGGTAGCACCCCCGTGGGCGTTGGCGCCGCTCATCCGGGCGCGTCGTGCTGGATGCCCGCTGCCCTGCTGCATT